GTCATATCCTCCCCGAGCGGACGTAGATTGTGGATTCGGGTGAGGAGCGACAATTCCCCGACCGCCTGCTCACCGCCAAGGACGACTTCGGTCGGAGGGCTCTGTTTTCGGCGTCGTTTCAGAGCGCCTGTGTCCTCTGTGTCCTTCCCGGACGATTTTTCCTTGCCCTTTCGTCCGGGGGCTCGTGGGGCCAGTGGGTCAATCATGGCGTCGGTTTGAAGAGTAGTGGAGGCACCGAGTGGAATTATAGCGACAAGTGTAAATGACACTTTTCCTCTAAATTATATGTTTATAGTGCTTTTCTCTTGGATTATTCATGTATCAAAATGTCCCCTTTCAATTCCTTTCAATTCTACTATACTAATAAGAGCCCAAGAGAGTTAGGCATATAATTGGTAGAAAAAATGGTGGTCACAGATTTTAATCAAATGAATGGCTCAGATTGATTAAAAGATTGATCAGATTTAAATTTTACACTAAATTTCCTAAAATACCCACACATCGTTACTAATTCCGTTAAAATTTTAAGAATTGCCGTTAGTTCACCGTTAACTTACTCATTGATTTCAATAAAAAAAAATGTCTTAGGTTCGAACCTCATCCCAATCAAAGTTGGCATAATTAGTACTCTATTTTACTCTTATTAAATTATATAAATAATAATTTAGTAGTTACAACAAAAAATAACACATATGCATTTCTTTAATTTAGAATTATGTGTCCACAATGCCTTTATTCAAAAAAAAAATTATTCATTATCAATAAATTAAATAAGAAAAATAATTTTATTAGTTATATTGTCTTTATTTTTCTTCAATATAAAAATTATTTATATTCAAATTTATTAATTGATTATATTCGCTACATTATCCTATTTTCTTAAAAAAGGGGCGTTATTTCCATTTTCTTTGAATGAAGCTTTTTTTCTTCAAAATATGAAGTCTTGTATTGAAGTATTTGATACTTTAATATTTATAACGTATGCAGATACATATATCAACTAATGGAACATTTGTATGAACTGATAATTTATGAGTCGACTTGTTTTAGTCATACAGTTTTTAATGGACCATTTGTACGAACTGAAAATTTATTAACTTTTAAAAACTTAATAAATTGATATGAAAAGCAAAGAATGCATTTACAATAGAATTATATAGTCTTACAAAGGCAAAGAAAACCATTCTATTGTAAATACAATCTTATGCAGTCTGACAAATCATATATATATATATATATATATATATATATATATATATATATATATATATATATATATATATATATAACTTTTTGTTCTTGTTGTATTTGGCTGAGTTATGAAATAGAATTCCGTAGGAAACTAAAATGAATACCTTGCATATATATGATCTTGCCTTCCTCTTGCATCCTGTTACTGTGGTTCCTTTGAAATGTGATTTCTGAATTCCTTTTTGAAATCTGAAATGTAAAGGCTCAGTTTGCAAGAACAAAATAATTAAGATAAAATAGATAAATAATAGATAAAGAATCAATATATACCAGTTTCCATAAATACCTTGGTTCACAAAGGAATTAGGAGAGAAAAGCCCATTATGTCGGCCTCTTTCCATTATTCTTCTCCTTTGTTTAACCATCTGTTGTCTTCTTCTTTTTTTTTTTGCAGGCGTGACTGTTAGTGCCTCATCTTCCTGACTTCCTCAACATTCTACTGTCTTCCGCCTCCTCAACCGGTACCGCCATGAAAAATACACAAATGGTTCTCCTGCAACTTTGAGCCATTTTTTTCGATGATGAACTCGGAGTGGTGGTTATCTTGCAAATTGTGAGGTCTTATTTATAGTGTTTGAGTAGGATTATAAATCATCTCAGATTTAATTTGAAAACGTTCTGATATCAAAGAGACTATCCATATTCATATATCGAAAACCAAAGAGACTATCCATAAATGCAAGCGTGCAGTCGTCCAAAGACCTATCCACATTTCGGAAACCAAAGAAACCAAAGAGACTATCCATAAATGCAACCGTCCAAAATCATTCAATCAATTTCAAAAAGCAGCTTTCCCAGATTCCTCCTTCCAAGTAGTAAGAATTAATAAAAATATTTAATCAGGAAAAATGTTATGGCCAAAACGATGTAGTATTTACTGAGCGGGAAAATGCAACAATTTCATTGGCCATGATCTTATGGCTTTATTATATAAGAAGATTATATAAGAAGATAAGAAGATGTGTTCATAATTATGTTCACAACACTATGTTCATAATTATAGAACTATATGTTCATAATTTTTGAACTATATATTGATTATTATATTCATAATTATGAACTATTTTTGAACCATGTCTACCTTGCAAGGTGGACACAATTTCACAACATAATTTGTCAGGTCAATAGTACTATAAAAAGCCTTTGGACTTCTCAATACTTGCCCACATTGATGGGCAAGCAATTGTATGGTTGTAAGAGGAGCATTGTTTTTCTTATATAGAGGAGATCAAGAGCTCCTCTTTCCAAACATTTTCAATGTGGGATCAAAATGATCCTACATCTACTATACTAATAAGAGCCCAAGAGAGTTAGGCCTATAATGGGTTGAAAAAATGGCGGTCAAATTTTTTAATCAAATGAATGGCTCAGATTGATCATATTTTAATTTTTCCTTAAGATTTCCTAATTTATCCTTAACGAATATGATTATCCGTTAACTTTTCCGTTAAATATTATCTTTTTCCTTAATTTCTGTTAGTTCACCGTTAACTTACTCATTGATTTCAATACGAAAAGTCTTAGGTTCGAACCCCATCTCAATCAAAATTGACATAATTAGTACTCTATTTTACTCTTATTAAATTAAAAAATAATAATTTAGTAGCTACAACAAAAAATAATACATATGCATTTCTTTAATTTAGAATTATGTGTCTACAAACTACAATGTCTTTATTTAAAAAAAATATTCATTATCAATAAATTAAATAAGAGAAATAATTTCATTAGTTATATTGTCTTTATTTTTCTCCAATATAAAAATTCTTTACATTCAAATTCATCAATTGATTATATTCGCTACATTGTCCCTACAATGTCTTTATTAAAAAAATTATTCATTATCAATAAATTAATTAAGAGAAATAATTTTATTATATTGTCTTTATTTTTCTCCAATATAAAAATTCTTTACATTCAAATTCATCAATTGATTATATTCACTACATTGTCTATTGTCTTTTTTGTGCACTATTTTTTTTAATTAAATATCAAAGTTTTAATACAAAATAATGTTGTATATTTATTTACCAAGTATTTTATTAATACCATGAAAAAATTTTAAAAATATAATTAATAAAGTCAATTATATTAACTACTTGAGGGATTTGTTGACAAAGTGAGTCTTCAAATCACACACAAATTGAAGTGAGAACTATCTCGCAATGTCCTTGTTTGACAATTAGCAGTTAGCGCTTATCATTAGCGGATTTAACCAGTGAATTATATCAACGGTTGGTAAAAAAATATTTGAAAAAATTAGCTGTTTAGATTAACATGTAAAATGACCTAAGGGTATACATATATTTAATAATAATTATAATAATAAGGGATAAAGTATAAATAATCCACCGAACTATTTGGGAAACAGCAATTAAGCCTTCTAACTCAAATAATCCCTAAATACGCCATTGAACTCAGAAAAAAGAGCAATTAACATTTTTAACAGGTTAACTCCAGGTTTTGCTGACTGAATTGCCAAATGTTTACTTTATTTATGTTTTTCTATTATAATCCACCTACATAGTAATATATTTTAAAATAAATATAATCAAAATAATTTTGTCTTGTCTAGATCTAATTTATTTAATTATTATTATTATTTAAACATAAGATTAAGTGAAATAATAATAATAAATAAATCAAATCTCAACAAGACAAAACTATTTTGATTATAATTAATTTAAAATATATTACTATGTAAGTGGATTATAATAAAAGAAACGTAAATAAAATAAACATTGGGTAATTCAGTCAACAAAAACCTAAAGTTAACCTGTTAAAAAGGTTAATTGCTCTTTTTTCTAAGTTCAATGCTGTTAAAGTTAACCTGTTAAAAATGTAAATAAAATAAACATTGATGGCTTAATTGCTGTTTCTCAAATAGTTCAGTGACTTATTTGTACTTTATCCCTAATAATAATAATAATAATAATAATAATAATAATAATAATAATAATGATAATTGTTTTTAAAAAATAAAAATATAAAAAATATAATTAAGCCAATCATATTAACTACTTGAGGGATTTATTGACAAAAAGTGTATTCAAATCACACAACAAATTGAAGTGAGAAACTAACTCGCAATGTCCTTGTTTGGCAATCAGTAGTTAACTCTTCAATATTAGTATATATTTAATATTTTATGCCATAATTTTTATTTGCTCTCCCTTATGTCCCGTATTTGGTTTCAACCATGCCTATACAATTATTTATTGACAATTATAATCAATCTTGACTATATTATCTTGCTTTTGTAAACTTAGAATTATCTATTTAAATACGTAAATTCAATATTCAATTATCTATGCATGAACAATTTCAATATAATCTTGCCTTGATATACTTGAAAGTACTTATTTTTTTAAAAAAATATTGGGCATTATCCCAATCGCGCAATGCGCGTAAAAAACTAGTATTTTAATAAAAGTGATAGCTTTCTTCTTTTGATATTAAATCGACATTACCTTAAAAAATAAGTATTTCATTTATTTTTCTTTTCCAACAAATTATTATATTACATATATATAGGAATGGCCATTGTTTGGTTCAAATCGACCGTATAATATAGTCACAAAACTAATAATCGTCCGTGCATTTATTAAAAGTGTAATTTATTCATTTGTTAAATTAATAATAGCCCGTGCATCGCATGAGACAGTTACTGATTTATGAAAAAAAAAAAATGCCGTAAGTATATACTCCGTATAATTTAAGGAGAAAACTCCATTTAATGGTAAAAATTTAAATAGGCAGCGGCGTGGAGTTGGAGGTGAGGGGAAGCCAGGTTGGCTGAGCGATGGCAGAGCAAGAAGACGGCCTGTCTCTTAGCTTGCTACTCTTTCTTTCTTTGGCTTATTCTTCTTCCATTTACAACTTTTATATACAAAATACATACAGAGTCGTCTCTGTTGCTGTGATGTTGTCCTGCTTCAACTCCCCTTTGCCTTGCCAGTCTGTCATCTCTCCCGCATTCTCCCCAACCACTCACCCACCCACCCACCACCCTCAAACACAAATATATGAACACCCTTTCCTTCTGCAACATATATGCGTATGTGTACAAGCTCGACAAACCCTTTGATCCTCAATCATGAGTCTTCTTGGCCTTGCAAGCAGGTATTAATATGAATACCGATTTGTTAGGTTATTCTATTGAATTTATATAACAAAGTTATCACATGGGTTCTTTGGTTGCATACATTTACGGCTGTATTTTCCATAAAGATTTGATTTTTTGTTGTGTGGGTGATTCCAGAAACCAGAAGACATTTCATCCTAAGAAGAGTGTTCCACCAGGAAACAAGGTTCGGTAATTGGTGTCTATGAAATAAAAAAGAATCTTTATGTTGAAACAGTAGTGTTCTTGGCTTTACTGCACTCCTTGGATATATTCCCTTTTTTTCTTTTTGGTTTGCCTATAATCTGTTTGATTGTTTGCCCATGTGGTGAATTCTTTATGTTCAGATTCATTAATCCCATTATGAAGTGGGAAATTAAGTATTTAATCTATAATATCAATACTCTAATATTCTTCAACTATATTGATTTTTTTTTTCGATTTAATTCTAAAAGTCTTTTTGTGCTTAATTGGGTCCTGAACTTGATGATTTTACATAATTTAGTCCTCGGTTGGGATACCAGGACTATGTGGTCTAATGGTACCTGGGTTGGACTTCCATTTGGAAGGCTGTGAGTTTGAGCCTGAGAAAGTATATGAACAGATACTACAATGTAATTTCTCCACTATTAATATCGAATTTAATCCTCGACTTAGTGGTTTTATTTAAAAAATAGTGATTTTACCCAATTTTAGTCTTCAACTATAGTAGTTTTTTTTCGATTTAGTCCTTGATTTTAATAGCCGGCTCAATTAGGTAAAATCATCAAAGTTTAGGACCTAATTAATTATGCACTAAAAGACTTTTAGGACTAAATTAAGAAAAACTACTATAGAGTCGAGGACTAAATTTGGTATTAACTCATAAACTTTACCAAATGAGCACTTTTTCATGGCTACTAAACCAAATACTTGGTATTTAACTTCATGTTTTTTTTCCTTTAATTTGTTTATGTTTTCCTACAAATTCAGGGTGAACTACTCCAGAAACATATTGATGCCACCTTGGGGAGTGGCAATTTGAGGGAAGCAGTGCTGCTGCCAGCAGGGGAAGATCTTAATGAGTGGTTGGCTGTAAATAGTAAGATAATTAAAGCCTTTATGAATGCTATATATATCTGAGAACTCATACTATGTCTCTTTAATTTGCATTCTTATTCATAGCAACTGTTTAACTACTTCAATATCTCTGTTCCCTTTATATAGCTGTCATATAAAAGTGAGTATGCTGGATTAACTCCATGAATTTTCTTTAAGTCTGCTTGGATTTACATGTTGGGTGAAAAAAGAAAAGACTGTAAAGGACAAAGTCTAATATAGATGATTTTTTTTTTTTTTTGAAGGGAAAAAGAAAAAGCAATGGTTTCTTAATCTACTTAGTTTTCACTTGGCAATATACACTTTTGTGTTCATCATATAACAATGATGAGTGATGTGCCATGGACTGATGTTTTTTAACGTTTGCCTTTTCCACAGCTGTTGACTTCTTTAACCAGGTGAATATATTGTATGGCACTCTCACTGAGTTCTGCACCCCATCAAGTTGTCCAATGATGACTGCAGGACCAAAGTATGCTTCTCGATCAATTCCTTTACTAAGTACCAAATTATAAGTTCATTTGTAAAAGCTCGTCTTTTGGCATAAACCGGTTCATATCTTGTTCATTAAATTGACCATCAATGCATCTGAATTTAAGAATAATCAACTGTTAGTTTTGGATGACGTGAGAAACCCCACAACCCTTTCGGGTCTAAGTTAATCCCGCCTTGTGACCCTAGCTGGCAAAGGATTGGAAGTAAACCAACCTAAGTTACCCATAGTTGTCTGACTCAAACCAAGGGGGCAAGGATTTGAACTCGTGACCTTGTGGTTACCCGTCAACTGTTAGTTTTGGATGACGAGAGAAACCCCACAACCCTTTCGGGTCTGAGTTAATCCTGCCTTGTGATCCTAGTTGGCAAAGGATTGGAAGTAAACCAGCCTAGGTTACCCATAGTTGACCGACTCAAACCAAGGGGGCAAGGATTTGAACTCGTGACCTTGTGGTTACCCATCAACTGTTAGTTTTTATTTTAGGAATGGATGCATATATGAAATTTTAGATGAGATATACTTTCACTTTTTCTATAACTAATTCAGCTTTTGGTAGGTACGAGTGCCTTTGGGCAGATGGAGTGACTATAAAGAAACCCATAAAAGTTTCTGCTCCAAAATATGTTGATTATTTGATGGATTGGATTGAAAAACAGCTGGATGATGAATCAATATTTCCCCAAAAGTTCGGTAGGTACAAGCTGCAATCACAATCTGTCTGTCTGTAATGCAACTTATGCTTTTTGGTGAGTTTTTATTTTTTGATATTAGATTAGATTGTTGGTGTGATACATACAGGTGCTCCATTTCCACCAAACTTTGAGGACGTCGTGAAGACGATAGTTAAGAGACTGTTCCGTGTGTATGCTCATATCTACCACTCGCATTTCCAGAAGATCATTGGTTTGAAGGAAGAAGCTCATCTTAATACTTGCTTCAAACATTTTGTTATGTTCTCATGGGTGAGTTCAAATCCCATTTCCTTTTATGCTGTCAAGTCTGCAGTTTCTTGTCATCAAAAAAAGACTGAAGCTTTGGATGCCACCATGTTAAAATCTAGGGAAAAAAAGTTGCAATTTTAGTTCTTAACTTTTTGTCGTTGCAATATACGCCCCTAACACTTAAAAAAAGTTGCACCCCTAACTCATGGTTAAACTAGGGGTGTACAATCACTTAGTTAGTTTAACTCATAGTCTTATAAACATGTTTTTCTATTATTTTTTAAACGTGGGACTCTTAAATAACCTTTTGGATTTTGATATGATGCAGGAGTTTCACTTGATTGACAAGAATGGAGTTGCACCTCTGTACGAGATTGTTGAATCCATTTTGCAGTTGTAGGGTAGAATCCTGCTAATTTTCATTCCATTCCATTCCATTCATTTTTATAATTCTTTGATTAGCTTCTCTGTAAATAGAATGATCTGAAATTCATGCTTTCTACA